AAGCGCCTTCGACACAGAATGATGACCAAGTCTTAGTTTAGTTGTACCTTGTGAAAAGTACGAACAGATAAGGGAATAAATATTTTTAAAACACCCCCGTGATTTTAATTTCAGCAACAGCATGGGCCACCATGCGTTGTCGAAGGCGCCAGATATATCTAAGAAAATAGCCAGCACGTATTGAAATTTTGACTCTGTGACAAACTTTCTAACCGATATAACAGCGTCAGTTGTCGATTTACCCAACGTAAATCCAAATTGTCTATCATGAAATTTGACTCCACCTGGCAGAAGCCGGGGCACTACAAGACGTTCTAAAAGCTTTCCTAACGATGGTAACAATGTGATTGGTCGGTAGGATTTAGGATCATCCGGTGGCTTGTCGCCACTTTTTGGTATTATACGAATATTACCGCACCGCCATATACGAGGAAATATTCCTTCAGCAATGCAACGTTTAAAGACAGTGAAAATCGTGTCACCCGAAAGTTTACAAGCTTCTTTTATCATTTTGTTAGATATTTTATCATCACCCGAAGCCTTGTTTAGCGGCAAGGATCTAATGATACCGAGAAATTCGTCTGAAGATGGTAAATCAGACATTGGAGACAGTGGTGGTTCGATGGCCCACTGCCTGATCTGTCGGTGATGATCAGTGTCGTTTTCCGGTCGATCGTCAGGTACGAGTGAGTCTAAAAGATATTCTGCTGTTTGTTCTACTCCTGTGGTATATCTGTTATTAATTTTGATGTTCTGTATGTATGCGTGGTCGATTGATCTATTTGCCTTAAATTCGTGATACAAAGGTGACCACGGGCCCTCTCTATCGAGTTTATTAACAAGTTTCTGAATTAAGTTTCCCTTGGATTTTTCCACAGCAGCTCTGTAGTGGGACCTGGCAACTCTAAGAGCAATGAGAGCAATGTTGTACAAATCTCCTGTTACGTTATGTTTTTTAATAGTGTTTAATTTTCTACGAGCTTTCCGGTAGCTTCTACGTAGTTCGGCTAATCTATCATTCCACCAATCACATCTACGAGTGTTAGTGATAGATCCGCGACCAATAGTTACATCAGCGCAGTATGTAAAAGTTTCTGATAGTATTTCTGCGCTTTCCTCAGCTGATAAACTACTGCGACTGAAGTCTTTGGTATGAGTTGCAAAGAGTGAACCAAACAAAGCCCAGTTCGCACCTTTAGTTTTATATCTAAAATTATAGGGAGCCCTTTGTGGATCCTGTGCAACCCTTGGTGTGAATTCGTACACGATCAAGCGGTGATCACTACAGGATGCGTCCGGAAGGACACGCCATCCGGATATCGAGACGTCGCCGCGCGTAAGCGTCACGTCAATAGAAGACTCACCCATTGGGTTGCAAAAAGTTGGTGGTGCATCGGGGGTATTGTGAATAATAAGATTCATTTCCGCAATGAAATCTTCAACCGCACAACGTCGAACCGTGTCGGTTGAACGCAACTTGCCATACCATAATGAAGATGACGCATTGACATCAGCGCCAATGATAATTTTATGTCCCACGAGGAACTGCAAGACGTAACGTAAGTGATGTAAGTGAGGATCAATAGGATGTGAGTATTGAAAATAGCAGCTCACTACGTAAACCTTACAGGTAGAGGATGAGATCTCAGCAACGGCGCAGTGTGACGTCATAAGATTACGCAAAGATGTTACCGTAAAATTAGAACTTGCAACATATATCCCAGCCTGCGAACGGCAGTCAAGCTGTACTACATTACGACGCAAGCGAGCGCTCTGATATTGTTCTTGTAAAAGGACAATGTCTAACTTTTGTTCTAAAATTAAACGGTCTAATTCTGATGTAGCTATTTTATCGTTATGAAGATTTAACTGGCCTATCGAAATATTATTCATTACTAGTAAGTTACTCTTTAAACTTTTTTTTTTTTTTTTTTTTTTTTTTTTTTTTTTTTTAAACTAAGTTAAACTATTCAGTAATTGGTATTTAATATTAGCTGTTCCAGTTTTAATTTGTATGTGGCACAGTCGTATGAGCCGCATCGATGGTCAGATGGTTTTTTGAACCGCTTACACTGTGCGCACGTGGGCTTAAAATCTGGTGTGTCTTTATCTGGACAAGCTCGCGTTTCGTGTGCGGTGGCGCAATTAGCACAAGTAGGGGTTTTAATAGTGCAAAACTTTTGTATATGACCGAATTGCTGACAATTTAAGCAACGAACTACTTCTATATCGTCTATGAATCTACATGTGGCCCAGTCTATATAAAGTTTATCTTTTGTGTTGGCTAGATGTTTCCGAACTGCTGCCTCTAATTCTAAGCCTATCCATTGACGCCCATTTTCTAGTTTACGATGCCTAACAATTTTGGTTGACTTAATAAAATCATTCTCACTTAATTTTAATTCGTCCTTGATATTCTGACGGTATAAAGCTGTTAGGAAGGCACGATCTTCCATAGAACCGGGTACGTCTTTTACAATTATACGGGGCCTACGGCCTTTCGGTTTTTCTAAGCGCAACCCTACTGATTTAATGGCGTCCACAGATTCCAGTTTCTTAAGCTGCCGTTCGTTAGCTACACGTAACACGACGCCTGCCTTAGAGGTTTTTTTAACGCCTACAATTTGAAATCCCTCATCGCTCGGTTTAATAGCCTTCATGAGAGCTTGTTTCGTTGCTGACGAGGTCGCATAGTCCGCTAAGCGTTCCGTAGTGGGATAGGCAATAACACAAGGCCTAGGAACGCGCGCTTCAGTAGGTACCGGGCACGGAGCAGATTTAGGTGGTAATCGAAGCTTAAGTTTGTCCGCGTACGTTAAACTCGTTTGTTGAGTTGCGATACCCTCCATTTGTCGCTCAAAATTCGCTAACTTCGTTTCGTTGCTAGAGGATTTTATTGCTAACAAAGATACGATACCGGTAATTCGTTGAGTAATATCCATAATTGCCGTTTTATTACCTACATTCATCCGAGATCCCTGATCATTAACTAATTCATTGATTTTTGCCAAGTACTCGGTAGCCTGTGAGACTAACTCGCAGTAATTGTATTCCCCACAGTTATCACGACCGTTAAGAGACGAAACATTTCCACTTAAATCCGAATTATTAATTCGTTTACTTCTATTGTCTTTCGGCGAGAAATCCGTAGGTGACATTTCGTTAAATGTCCTTTTCCCGGTTGGTGTTAGAAATTCACTTGTACCGCCGGGGTCCGGCAACTCGCTAACGACCGACATAGCCAAACAAAGACACACCAAACAACAATTTCAAAAGGAACAAGTTTAAAAATAAACAATACGCAGAGAAAAATCAATATAAACAAAGGATACCTCCTACCCACTTTTAGAAATAAAATAAATTTACTCACCAATAGTCGTAATAAAATAATTTAGCACTATATTTCTGTTTAAAAAACAATAAAAACTTACTGATATTCTTTAAAACACTATACACAACCTTTAGCCGCCCGCAAACCGGGAACTAGTCGCAGAAAAACACAGAAAACAATATTTAAATTGTTAGCATATGAAGTCACACGTTAGTCGCACAGTGCCGCGAAGGGAAGGTTTATTGGCTTATGTAAAAAATGCATCAATCCCGAAAATCCCGGGATTCATTAAATTTGATCCCGAAAATTTCGGGACCTAAATATGATCGGGATCCCGGGATCCCGGGATCGAATTCTCTAGTGGTGACCGTGAGGTTTTCACACACATCAACAGCCTTTAATAGTCCACTGTTTTGGCCTACTATACCACGCTGACAAGACGGTTTGATTTAGGGTTTGTGTCAAGTTTTCCTTCTCTTTGTAATCCTGCGTAGTTTGCTCTCTTACGACATCCACGAGATGAATAGAGGTGGTGACACTCCGTATTCTGAATCCTTCATTACACGGACGTTTTCTCACAACCTCTCGCAAATCGAATCTAGCATAAATATAAGTATACTACATCTTACAGAAACGTGTAATAAGTTATTTTTATGCATAGGTCTAACTATAAATATATCTAGTTGGACAATTTTACAGTAAATGTATGTGTGTAGTAATAATTAGTGTTTTAAATGTACGATGCAGAATGAATTATAGGTACAAATTCGATCCCGAATAATGTATCATCTTCAGTTACTAACGCTTTTTAGAACTTTGTAGGTGCCAAAGGTCAAGGTCGTAATTTTAGGTCGATATCCCTGTAACATGCGTTACACATCTTTTTTACAACCATGACAAAAAAAGACGTGTGGCACTCGGGGACTGCCGCGGTCAAGCTATTGCATAGCATTTTGTATCAACTTATGCAATTATAATTATTTATTTATTATATTTATGCAGTATTTCTTTTTCTTTGATATTAATTCAAGTTTCACTTTTTGAGCGTGGTGACAGATAAGAAAACATTTTTTTTTCTTTTATTAAATAAAAATATTGAAGCATATATTACAATTTGTTTTTAAATAAATAAATATTATTATTATTATTAAATCAAATTACATATCCATGTAAGATTTTTCTGCATTATGTTGACGAAATTTCCTTTGACGTTCAGCATTTGATTTTGGTACTGTTTTTTGTTTTGTTTTTAGCGTGAGGTTTTTTTTCGTTACGGAATTTCTGGATTCGGTCCCCGCGCTCAAGGCCCTCGATAGAAGCTATGCAATAGCTTAAAAAATATTGTAAAAATAACTAGATTTCGTTATCATGCATATTCTTATCAAGAACGAGAAATTAATGCTACAAATATACACACCTATCTTGAATGATATAAGTTATAAGATACTCGTAAATACAACAATATTGCCTCTATCTCAAGTATGAAAGGTGATCGAAAAGTTATTCTCTATAAATTATGATATAAAAGATAAATAACGTTATCTTAATCTCTTGTTTCAGATATAGCTGTCGATATACACATAAAACATGATTATCTCCATCGGCTTAGAACGGCTACAAAGAATTTAGCATATTTGTGACGAAGTGTGCTTGTAAGAAACCGTAAGAAATGCAAAACTCAACACTAAATCGTACGCGTGTCTTTGATTACGAAAATGATCCAACGTACCAGTTACTATCGGGACTACGAAAGAACTGTTTCACGGATAATGTGACCCACAGCACCGTCGTTGGTGATACATACAATGGTAAGTCATTCCAACAGTCAGTGTTACTTCATATCGAGTATATCATATTTGTGTCACTAATGCGATCGATAGTCGCTGTTACACTGAATGTATATGTTATGTTAATATGTAGATTTGCTATCGCAACTGAAGAACAATTTGCATGTAAAATGATCAAGAACATTCAACTCTTTACGTCACTCACCGCCGATTTCGATTGGAAAAGTAAATATACCGTGTCGCGCGAAATTCGAGCAATATGTTGCTCCATCATATTTTGTTGCTCATAATTTAACAATCTCTACAGTGGAAGAATATTAAATAGTTCAAAACATAGTAAGAGTATTATTTTGATCTTGAGTTCAATTTTGATTAAAACTTCGGTATTCATATTTTTATATTTATTTGAAAAAACACATTCATTATTTTTATTTATATTATTCCGTGTGGTGACGGATTAAGCATACGGAGTATCACCACCCTTATTCATCTCGTGGGTGTCGTAAGAGCCGACTAAGGGAACTAACTACTCAGGACTACAGCACTGCGAACCCGTCTGGCCAGCGTGGTATAGTAGGCCAAAACCTCTTTTCTAAAGAGAGGCCTATATCCAGTAGTGGACTATTAAAGGCTGTTCATGATGTAATGATTTATATTAGTAGTTAAGATAACGTAAAATTTGACCAAGTTTTAACTTACAATTAGTATGATGTGATTCCTAAGCATTACATAATAAAACTTTGACTACTAATTCTCAAAATGCTTTATGAGGCAAAATCATACAAAAAACATCTCATCTACAACTAACAATAAAAGCACATTACAATGTATACCTACGAAAACAGTTGCGGTGATAAGAGATCTGTTCCATCACCCAATTTAAAAAAGGCACCCTTCACCTACTACGGGTAGACTGATTTTTATCTTTGTCTAAAATTAAAATTCGCTAGAAAAGTTCAGATAATATACACTGAAGGTCATGGCCATTGTCAGCCAGGTGTTTAGGCTTGCCGTGAGAAGAGTGATACCGTGATTAAATAAGTAAGAGGCGACTAAGGGAGCAAAATACGCAGGACAACAGCACTGCAGAGAGAAGGAAAACTTGAAACAAACCCTATACCAACCCGTCTGGCCAGCGTGGTATAATAGGCCAATACCTCCTTCCTAAGGAGAGGCCTATGTCCAGCAGTGAACTATACCAAACGAAGCAGAGCCTGTACTATGGCAACCAACCTGCTCATAAATGAATCTTGATATTATTATTAATGTTTTCTTATAAATGTTCATATTGCTTAATATATTTTACCTATAACCTCGTCTTAGTGTTTATTTATTTATCAACATGCAACACAAAAATAAATTCGTTACTCTCTTTTGTGTCTGTGCGCAATCATTACATAAAATGAAGGCGCTTCCTATTCTTGTAATTTCATTTCAAAATATCTAACCGACTTCAATTGTGATACAAAAGGAATGTTTATACTCGTATATGAAATGTAGGTAATACATGCATATTATAGTTGACGATATACGAATTTTAAAGATTTGTAGTGTGATGTCGTCAAAAACTTGTTCTAGTGGGCTTGAATTGCAAAAGCTGGCTTTGCCTTATGAGATAGATCCTAGCATACAATAAGTAGATATATATCTAACATTAATAAATAAAACTTACCCCCTAGTTATTGAGATACTTGATTTTTTAGATTCGATATATACCACCCTGGTAATTTTATAAAAAAAAAACACGAAATAATAACAATTATGAAAAACAAAACATTTTCTCAAACATTTTGTATGAAACCTGACACAGATAAGGAGTAAAACTGTGACGCAGGAGAAACTACTAGTATAATTAAAAATTATACCGCACGTAGACATTCATATATCTAATTACGTTATTAGTAACGAAAAGTAAAACATTTTAAAAAAAACAAGTTTATTTGCCACTACTTGACCGATTTCCTTTTGTTTGAAACTTGTCGTCGAATGCAGTGCATGCTATTTAAATGTTCTATCACTTTATATTATACTACAAGGTGAATATGAATCAAGTTTTATTATCAATTTGAACTCTTCAATATTCCTTCAATTAATGAATTTTCACAAACTAAATTAAACTATAACGTATGTAAGCACTGTGAACTTGCCCCTTTAAATAATTTCTGTCTTTGAATCGGAGATAGAAGAAGTTGTGTTAATATTAAAGCATCGTACTTAGATAATTTCAAAGTTTGAGAGTCTTTAGACAAGCATTATTGCTGCAACAATAATATTATGATTGAAATAGTTAAGTTTAAGTACTCACTGATAAAGAGAGTGACTTTTTTTGTAGACGTGGTCTACAAAAAAAAAGCCACTCTCTTTATCAGTGGATTACCTTCGGATCTCCGGCTCCTTGGGGATATAGGAACCAGGAGTATGTGGTGATTCCATTAAAAACCACTCTGACGGCCAGCCTTAGGAGCCCTGCTCTGGGGAGAACCCGGGCCATGTGATTTCAGGTCCCCCCAGATCGACCGACGCCGCACCTAACTAGGCCCCATTTCAGGGAAAGCCAGTGGTTTCTCCCTGCATCAAAGCCTATCCAAATGTTGCGGCCCGATCACATTTTCAGTGCGATCAGGCTGCGATCCTATCCCCTACCGCAGCAATTAATCTGCCACCAGAGATACCCACTCTCTGGCGGCCCGCGGTCCCGTCGGCTGCTCATTCGACATCTTCTTCGCTCGGGATTGGCCCAGTCGGCCGCGCAGTGCTGGCATTGTGCCGTCTCCTCGCATCCAATCGGATTCAGGTAAAGAGAGTGGCTTATAAAGAATGAATCCTAAGATTAGTGATAATATCATTAAAAAGATTTTAATTATGATACCTTTTGACTCTCTTTACCAGTAACATAGATTTGGGCTTACTAACTTACTTAGTGCTAGAAGTTATCATTGTTAACACACTGCTAAGAAAATAACTGATGAAAGGATAAAGGAGCGATAATTAAGCTAAAAATGATATGATTAATAAATTTACTAGCCATTAAAAACTGCTACAAATATGAAAATTTCTAATTTTGAATAATCATTACGAGGTAACTGTCGTACACCGCTGAGGTGTTCCCTCGACTGGTTTCTGTCTAATATCTGATTAACTACTGGTCTCCCTCATTTTATATTGGCATTAGAAATTCATAATAGAGAGGCTAGTTTAAAAATATGTTTACGCAATGCGTTAAGAATCATTTATCCCATATTAGTCTAGTTTTAAACTGAGTCAACTCATACTTTGTGTCTACTAAGAACAAAAGATGTTATGAGTTTAAATAAGAGAACCTGTTCCGTTTTTATGTTGAGTCGGCGAAAACTTTAAAGAGTTTTCGAGAGACATCTAAGAATGGCTTCCTTCGTATTTTCACAAGTTATGACGTCCGAGATAACGGGTTAATTTTGCAAATTAAACAAGGATTGTCGCGATGAAAGAAAGAACTAGAGATTATGTAGATGTTCACTCCTATACTATACTCCTATACTTTATAATAATAAAAAAAAACGTGGTTTTAGTAATAGTACAATATAAAAAAGATTTAGGAAACGTCGACGCAACATTGTAAAATGTTCGTAAGTTACCAGCTTTAAGTAACTTTTTATCATTTCAATAAGGTCTTTATTATTTAGTAATTTTCGTCTCTTTCGTTAACGCATTTTTTAACTCAGTGATCACTCCGAGAAAATTTGGTCGTTGTAATCTAAATTCATTAATAGAGACAAAACAAATACCGAAATATATTATATGTAAAAATATATATTTGTTAATTACGACGTCTATTAAGTTTTCGAGTATCAGACACATAAATTATACAAACACTTTGTAATCTTAATCGTAATCATCGTAATCTGGATCACAGTTTCCACTGACAACTTGGCATCTATGTTGTGTTTAGAATATCGTAAGAGATCATACATAAAGATATTATTGTAAGAATATCGTAAGATTCCATAAAGTTCACGGACGTCTTGCTTTGGATGCATGACTTTCACCCGTTTCTTGGCAAAAAAGTTGATATTTGTATAATATATAACACACCATTATGTTTTGGGTTCGATCGATCGAGTTGCATCACAGCGTGTAATGGTGCAACGAGTAAATTGCTTGTGGTAGCTTGCAATATAGATATTCTTTGTTAACAATGTCTAAGTCAACTAATATTTGAATTTCAATTTCAAAAGTCTTTATTTGACAATCTTAACACTAGTTGTATACCATAAAGTACTTAAATAATCTATAGGACATCCGTAGTAGTAAGGTTATTTTGCCTTCCAGCATAGGCCTCCCCCAGACTCTTCCAAAATTCACGGTCGCGTGCTCTTCTCCTCCAGTGTACGCCAGCTGTCTCCTTGAAGTAGTCTTCCCATCTTCGGAATGGTCTACCTCTCGCTCTTTTCCCTTCCCTAGGATACCATTCTTTAACATCTTTTGCCCATTTTTCTTTCGTTGTTCGAATTAGATGGCCGGTAATTTCCATTTCAACTTGTGTGTGTCTGTGTGTGTGTGTGTGTGTGTGTAGATTGTGTCAGTTATTTTCGTTTTTGTTCTTATGACTTATGTTTATCTTATATTCTCTTTATGCTCAACATGCTTCTTTCTATGCTGTGCTGACATGTTGGAAGCCTACTGATATTTTTATTTAGTTCAGGGCCATGTCTGACATATGCCATATGTCATTATAGAAAGCACTCAAGAGTTGTATATTCGACTTTTCAGTTTCAATGGTATTGTAGGGCTTTTTTAACTTCTTTTAAAGACCAGTACCTTTTCCATGATGAATTTATCCTGTTTTTAATTACCTTGAAAGAAAGATGTGTAGGTGAGTTGATTTGTCCAAGGTAAGTATATTCTTGAACATACATAATGGGTTGTTTTGTGGAGTTAGTCATCAATTTAGTTTTTTGTACATTCATTATTGGTCCTGCTTTAAAACTCTCCACTACTAGTTGTTTCAGCATAACTCGCAAGTGATTCGGGTTATTTCATAATATTATAAGATCATCTGCAAATCTTAGGTGGTTGAATGGAGCTCCATTTATTGTTTTCTATATTCTGTCCTGTCCAGGTTCCTGAACACTTCTTCCGGAGTAACGGAAAAGAGTTTAGGTGACAGTGGATCTTCCTGTCTTATACCTTTCTTGACATCGAACTTTTCATCTACCCGTTCTGTTTTACTTCTTGCTGTCATATTCTTATAGATGTTTTGTATCAAGCGGATGTATTTTTTATGTACCCCTTGGTGAAATAAGGTTTCCCATATCTTTAGAGTCAAAGGCTTTGTTGTATTCCATGAAAGCTATATATTAGAGCAATACATATTCTTGGTATTTGTCAATGATCTGTTTAATTGGGTGTCAACGAATACTTATACATATTGAAAGCCCCCTAATCAATCCTAAATCGCTCTTATTACTACATTGATAATAATAATAATAATGCATTGTTAAGACATAAAGGATATAACAATAAAAATAAACCTTAAATACCAATTTCTAAAAAAGCTTTATTTCCGCAGAAATGATGGGTGGTGTCCGAGAGTCTTTGACGGCTTTTCATGTTGGGATGAAACCCCTGCATCCACAACTGCCTTCCAGCCCTGCCCGGAGTTCATCGTTGGATTTGATCCCAGGCGCTTCGCTTACAAGAAGTAAGTTTTCGTAGACTGGAGACTATAGAAATAATCGAAAAATGTTTAATTTCAGCAACAAATAGCACACTGCAGCAGCTAAAAACACTTTTAAAATTGATAAAAGTCAAAGGCATGGCCACGAATGTATGGACTATCGTAGAGTATTGCGTTAACGCCAAAGTGTTTAAGAAGGTTTATAAAATAACCAAATATCATTTCCAGTTTCCATTTTTTACAAAATATTGTTTTTATTAGAAAACGTAACCTAACCTAAAAATTGTCAATGTAGCTAATCAAATTAAGCTCATAGCTAGTTAAGTAATCATAACCGATACTAAAGAAACTGAATAAAATCATCACCTTCTATTACATTTTTTCGTTTTAAACAGTTTTAAAACAAAAAACAGGTGAAAAAAACGAACAGATCGCTGCTAAATGATGACCAAAGAGCGCCATCCGTCCTGGTCTTGGGCAGTCCGTATTCATCCGCCGCATCCAGCCATCCATATTCCTCAATTCGTCCTCATTTACATAAGAAGGTGGTAGAAATCCAGACTTAAATGGAAACACTGGAAAAAATAACCTTGTAACATCGTAATAATAGCTAAATGGCGTCCTTACATGCAACATTTGCTTAATGACTTTTGATGCTAAAATAAAACAATTCCATACATGCAATACCATACAGTGCACGTGTTTTATGTGGACTTACAATAACCAGTAAGAAGTAGCAAGAGATGGACGCTGTAGCCAAAATAAGCTTTGATGATCAGCATTTTTTACCTGTCTCCAGTTCTAAGAAGTGTCTACGTCCATTTCTTGGCATCGCAAAAGAAGAGATCATACACCGTTGCCGATTGAATGTTCTTGTAGAGACCTCACGTGAAGTAGTCGACATTTTCGGTCAATTATTTGTACAACAAAGAAAGTATCACACACAACTACACTTTATTGTAAGAACCTTCGTTACTCGTTAATATACACAAAGAAAACATCTTGGCGTTAAACAAAGTACGTGTTGGTGATTAAACACAAGAAAATAAATATATTATTACAATGAATATCACAAAATATTGCAAAAAAATGTGGCCTCTATGTGGATTTACGAGACTATTAAAAGTCATATCATTTTACACTGAGGATTATTAAATTATGCTTGCAATAAATTTTATCAGTATACACAGCCCTGCTTGTTGACCCTCGGTGCAGTCCTCGTAATGAAACCCTAGCTTAAAATATGGGGATGTGGTTCTCCATTCGAGCAGCTCTAATTAGAGAAGAAATTTACAGCACTTCCTATTTATTTTTATAATATCATCAATAAATTGTTATAACATTAAGTATATATTTTATATAATTATTAATATAAACGTTCACGTGCGTGAACGTATAACGTAACGTTCTACAATATAATATGAATTTAGTATTTTTTTACCCGGCTGCTAAATGTTTGTTTGTAAATTTCTTTATTACCTCGTATCTTCCGTATGACTTGATGGATTTCATCCATAAAAATCCATAAAAAAACTCATATTCAAAAACTCAAGTGACCTTATATGGCGTTTTGAAAGAATAAAACAAAATGGCGGATTTTTGGCGAAAAATAGTATTATTAAAATTAAAAAATAATAATGAATAATAAATATATATAATTTAATAAGAAATAATAAATTGGTTCAAAAAGTTTTTGATAGCGTAAAAATGGACCATGTTTGTGTCGGACCTCGTGCTGTTTCAGTATTTTAGTGCGTTACTTTGAACTAGTTTATAGCAGTCGGATTTTTTTTTTATAAATTATTATTTGTTGTCTAGAAAGAAAAGAGCAGATAACGTTTTATTTCTTCCTTTCTTCATATAATTACTTATTTAATTAAAATCTATTTAAAGCTTTAACAAACACATCAATAAACACAATTAAATGGTTTATAAATAATAATATGTATGTATTGAGTATAAATCCTTCTTAATAAACCTTTTAATTAGATTTAACAATATTCATCGATCGCTCGATCTGCTAGCTTAGATTATGCGAGAGTAGTTTGAAAATGAAATGAACTTTCGTACCCACTTATTTATTTTAATCCGTTAAATTAAGTCTTACTAAAATTCCTAGTATTTGTATATAAACACACTGCCGACGATTACGGGCGGGCTTTTAAAAATTGGAGTATTTACATATTATGTTTATTCTAATTTGAAATATCGATACTTAACTCTTTAAAAAGAAAGCCGTCACAACTGGTATTTTGAAATAAACATTTCCTTTGCTCATTTACAGTAAGGCACACATATTCCGTTTCTTACTTTTCCTGCCTTTTAAACATGCATATCATACGAAATACTCGCATGAAAATACCGCTAGATGTTTTCAGTTAGAAAAAAATAATATTTAATATAAATCTTAATACTGAACAACCTTGCAGTATGTGGTCACAATAAGTTATGCTTTATAATATGTCAATGTTACAAAATTGCTAAGCTACAGCTTGGTAACAGACATTAAAATATCTGTTAAGGAGACGGTGTCTCTTTAAGCATGCCTACGTCCTAGGTGCTTATAGAGACACCGTATTTGAATATGTCCCACCTATTAGTACAAAATAGCGATAGACACTGTTGAGCTAAATGTGTAAGTATGTTCCTTACGCAACCAATCCCTGGCTGTGACTTTTAATACGAGTAGATATCAATACCGCATATAACTCGGACGTTTATAGCCTCTTATTTTCTGTAGTTATATCGTATCGTCTGTCATATCGGAAAGACAAATCAGTACCTACCTATACTAGTATAGACACAAAAAAATATTTAACATTACCGCTGTATCAAGTTCGTGTCCTATCTGATTTCAATTTGGTCCCGTTTTCTGTAATAGAAATCTGGTGCGCAACATTGGTTTCATTTAAATATATTAAATATGTTGACGGAACTCTTGATCGATTGGCCATATATTCTGGCTGCTGAACCGAACGTTGTTTTTTCGTTTTCCACTCAGGATAAATAGTCGTATGATGAGCACCTTCATTTGTTGTGTCTACATATAAATTATCTTAAGTAAAAAAAAAGTAAGTAAGTATAAAATAACATGTATGTACCTCGAAAAAAATATTTGTCAGCAATTTGTCTCAAGTAGGTTGTCTCAAGTTATTTTATATTATTATTTTGTTGTTTAAATTCCAAGAACCAACCAAGAAAGAGAAAAAATGCATTTTATTAGAATTTTAAAAGAAATAACAAATACATAACAACAAATACATAATAACAGCCAAAGAAACATATCATATGTTACTAGCGCTCAGAGTTTGAAGTATGACGTCTTTATATATATCTATATATAACTACACAAAAAAAAACAGGTTTATTTCGTGTAAAGACTTGACAAGGATGCAAAATGGGCGAATCAGCGTTTCACATTAGCATTATAGATTCACACCTAATAAAACAAATCGTCTAAACGTCTTTGTGTTTGTTTAAAAAATCAGATTTATTAAGCATTTACCGGTCGAGTGGTTCAATGTATTTGTTTGCCGCGCCTGGCTTCAATCCGGCTCGAAACCATTACTGCCACGCTGAGTACGTAGCCACGGTACTATTATAATACAGTATTGTTACTCGGCCGCATGATAGAAATAAATGCCTACAGCCGCGCGGTACGTAAACATGCGTTAGGGCTGCCCGTCTCCAGCATTTTAGTGATATTTGCCTACTTTCTGTTTCTATTTAGATTTGTGATTGTAAATATCCTTTTTATATAAATAAATGAAATACTTTGTATATTGAATAGGAATTGTTCAATAAAAATGCGTGTTGATTTTTGATTGGTAGATTTAATTAAAAAACATTTTTTTGTTTGAAAAACCAATCGGGCTTATAAATTAGCAACCGAAAAAAATCCTTCTATAAAATAAAATAAATGTGCTTTCTCCATACGCGTTACAAAACTCCAATCCTTAGAAACTCCAACACCTACCACCTACTCAACTAGAATGCAAGAAACAGCTGACGAGTAAGTAACTTTTTATCTCAGCAAATTAACGTCTCTATAAATTACCTAACCTATAACCTACAACTCGCAACAACTCAAAACAAAAATTCTTTGGTCACCAATTAATTAATTATTAAAAAGCTGAACAGCTGACTACGAATGTTTTAAAATCACAACCCTCAAACATCTAAATATTATATATGAGTCTAGCTGTTGTTGTTAATACCGAGAAAATAAAACCAGTTTTTAGTGGTATATGTTGTTATAGTAGCAGCAGAAACACTTTGTGAAAATTTCGAAAACTGTCTAATGACACACAGACGGTAACAAATTTTTTTTTAGTATTATTCATACACACAGATAATAAAGATATATTATTAATAATAAAATACCACGTCTTTAAGTAGAATTTTCTTTTTTTGAATTATGCAAAGTAACAAAACAAACATGCACCGAAGTTTTAACACAAGCGTAAGTAGGTAGGTACCTACCGTATCATGATTCATTCAGAACCGCATGTAACTCCCTATTTCACTCGTCTCAATAACTTTCCGTTACTCTATTTGCTTTATTTATTCATCCAAACACCTTTTTTTTCGTGAGATAAAAGGAAATACTTATCCATTAAAAAGACACACATTATGTACCTACGTACTAGTAAGTAAAATTATTTTATAGTCTTACTTTCAGAGTTTCCAGGTAATTTAAAAAAACTTATGTCTGGATGCGTTATTGACGAATTCATACAACCAAAAACAGCACAATATTTCCTACTCGTCATATTAACTGATTTTTAGAGAAAAAATCGCGCGGTTATTGTTAAAAAAAACAACACGCAGTCCGTTCGACACTGCGGTACAGCCGTGACTGTCTGCGCCCCGAGCGCACCCCGAGATCGAGGCGCGTAGGTATAGCTCCCGTTTCGTCCGTTTGTATGAAGTTGCAGTACTGTATTATAATAGTACCGTGACGTAGCGTACGAGAACGGCGTTGATATTCAAGGTAATTTAAATATACATGCCTGCTCTTGAAA